GACGGCCTTGCCGTTATGAACTCGGCTGTCCTTGTTTTGTCTCTGTGCCGCGTCGCCGAGCGCCGCCCGCTCGCTGATGCTGGCCCATAAAACCCGCGCCAAAGTGGCCCACCCAATAAGAAGCGATCAGATCGGGACGGCCAGGCAGGCAGGCAGGCAGGGCTGGCTGCTAAAAAGGGCCGGGCAAACCGTGGTGGACGGGCGGGGCCCCGGCGGGGCCCAGAACAAGGACGAAGGGCCGTGCAGGGAGGCGGCAGGGAGCCCCATGGCGGCGTGGCCGGGCGGGGCCGGGCGGGGCCCCATCCCGGTCCCGGTCGTCGCGCTCCCCGCATTCCCCCGCCGCGGCGCGCCGTCCCCTGGATTCCCGGCGACCGCCCTGCAGGCTCGTTCCGGACGCAGTGCCACGTCGCTGTCTCCCTCGCACCCGTTGGGACTCCGTGTGGGTGCGAGGGAGACAGCGACGAGGCGCTGCGCTTTGGAGTCCGCCTGCCGCGCTCGGCGGGACCCCCTGCCGCCCCCACCCCCAGCACCCCGGCCTGCAGACTGATTCCGAGAGCGGTTTTCGTCGCTCTGTCTCTGTCGCACCTATACGGGACGCCCCATGCGTGCGAGAGAGACAGAGAAGGCTCTCGGAATCGGCCTGCCGCGCGGCCTGCTCGGCCGCGACCGGGATCTGGCTTTAATTGAATTGCCTGCACGGCGCGGGGCGCGGCGGGCGCGCTGCAGCCGCCGCCTTTGTCGCCTTGTCGGCTGCCGAGCGAGCGATTCAGAGGAGCGGTTTGCAGCCCTCTCTCTCCCTCGCGCGCCCTCGTGGCGAGCGCCGTGAGTGCGACGGAGACAGAGCGACAAAACGGCTCTTCTGCGTCGCCCGGCTGGAGGGCAGAGTGGCGGCGGAGCCGTGGAGTAGCCGTGTCGGGTCAAAGCGACACAGCGACATCCGATGGCTGGCGCGGCACTGCCAGGCGCTGCACGTCTCGCGTGGCGCGGCAGGCTCATTCCGAGAGTCGTCGCTCTGTCTCTCTCGCACTCATGGGGCTTTCCGTGTAGGTGCGGGAGAGACACATCGACGAAAGCGCCTCTGCGCGCAGCGCCCTGCTCTCGGGCGCTGGCCGCGCACAACACGCGTGCGCTGCGCTGCTGGTGGTGGTGCAGGCCGTCCCACCGGCGGAGATCTAGGTCGCGGATGCGAGTCACGAGCTCGCTGCCCTGTCGAAAATGGAATTATCCTCTTTTAAAGCAATCACGCCATGGGGGGCTTTGCCTGCCGTGCGGGCCGCATTAAGTCGTCTGCCGGCATGACAGCTTCCCCCGCCAACGAGCATAATGTGCCGCTTTTAATTGAGGGGGACGCTCCAAATCGGTGGCGCAGTTTCCTCTTTCGTATCGACTGCGCGCGGCACACAGTGGGCCAGAAGACGGGAAGAGGCGGCCGAGTTTTTAGACGCGTTTTGAGCTCCAGAGTCGCTAAACAGAACTCGACCTGAACGTGTGGCTCCACCAATGGGTTGCTCTCGGAACGAGGAATCCATTGGTGGGGTCACACGTTCGGTTCGAGTCCTGTTTAGCGACGTTGGAGCCCAAAACGCGTCCAGAGTTTTGCCTGCATCCGCCGGTCCTCTGGCCCACTGTGCGGTGGCAGGTCGCCCGGAATGGTGGCCTTGGCGGTCTCGGCGGCGTACCGCCGGTCGCGCCGCGCCGAGGCTTAGACCGCCCCAGCGTCCTCATTAGACGAAATAATTACCCCATTTGCCGATGCGACGCTCCGCGATCCCCGTCCCCGTCGGACTCCGCTGCACTGCAATGCATTATTTCCGCGGCCGGGGGAGGGGCGGGCGTCCTTGTGCCTCGCGGCCGCTCGCGGCGCTCGGAGGCTGCCCGGGGCCTGGGGGCGGCCCGGGGCCCGGGGCAACGGGGAACAGGAACTGTGGTGGGGCCCGGCGGAGCGTGCTCTCTTGACTTCCGTGCTGTCCTTGTTGGGCAGCGCGGGCCGCGGCCGGTCGGAGGGTTCCTCAATAAGGCCCTGGAGGACCGGTCCAGTGTTTTCGCTCCGCCGTCCAGTCTATGGCCGCACCCCGCCCCACCCCGCCCCGCCCCGCCCCACCCCGCCCCGCCACTGTGCGGCCGCGCGGCGCGCTCGGTGACCCGGATCGGCAACGTGCGCGGCACCCCGCGGTCGGGGCGGGGCGGGGCGGGTAGGCTCCCCTGATCCGCCTTTATTTACGCAGCGACCGCCCCTGTGTTACTCCACTTAATTAGCGCCCTTTCTCCTCGTACCGGGGAAAGGGGCGATCGCCCGGGTCTGTTGTTTCGATTGCGGTGTCGGTTGACAAACGGCCGACCGCGGCCAAGTAGGTCCGGGCCTACCGGGGTCCACCCTTGCGCGGTCGCGAAACAGCTTTGGATTTTCAAACGACTCGCGAAGTGGACAGCCTTGTCACTCTGCTGGTGCGTTCGTGGAGGCGGCGTCCTGTCTCCCTGTCTGTCCGCCAGTCTGTCCGCCAGCCTGTCCGCCGGTCTGTCCACCTGCCTGTCCGCCAGCCTGTCCGCCGGTGTAAGCGGCGAAATGTACCCCCCGGCTCAGGGAACCCTCGGCTCGCCGTCTAGACGGGCCCGTCGTTAATTGTGCCCCGTATCGCCCCAACGAGGTCCGCATTGCGCTACAAGGTGCCGCGCCACCTGTGCCTGGCGCAATGCCTTTGCCAGCCCGGCGGGGCGGGCTCGGTGGCCACTCGGCACTCCAGCCGCACAGTCGGCCAGAACACCGGCGGAGGCGGCCCAAACCCTAGACGCGTATCGAGCTCCAGAGTCGCTAAACAGGACTCGAACCGAATGTGTGACCCCACCAACGGATTCCTCGTTCGGAGAGCAATCCATTGGTGGGGTCACACGTTCGGTTCGAGTCCGAATTAGTGTCTGGAGCTGAAAACCTGTCCGGGATTTCGACCGCCTCCACCAGTCTTCTGGATCACTACTGATCAGCAGTTCGAGACGGGAGCAACGAAACCACTGTTGGGAAGCAGCCGCCAGGCTCGCGCGTGTGCGTCCCGTGTATCCATACGCACTTGCCGTGTGTGGCAGGCCCGGGCAGGCCGTCTCGCCCGCGCGTGTGCGTCCCGTGTATCCATACGCACTTGCCGTGTGGGAGTGCCCGGCATCCGTCTCGCGCCGTGTCGTCCCGGTTCCAACGCCTGCCTGTGGCAGGCCGGCAGGCGCTCGCCCGCGCGTGTGCGTCCCGTGTATCCATACGCACTTGCCGTGTGTGGCAGGCCCGGGCAGGCCGTCTCGCCCGCACTCGTGCGGCTTGCCGCGCGGGAGAGACAGAGCGACGAAGCGGTGTGGGGAGTGAGCGTGCGGCGGTAACGCGGTCGCCACTCCGGTACGTGCAGAATGCAGCGCACGCACACTGGAAAGCGGCGGCGTGCACGAGCCCAAGGAAGGGCTGCAGTCAGATAGCAGTGCCGCCGCCGCTGCTTGTGCTTGTAGCTTGCTGCCTCCAATAATGAAGCCAGCTCGGTGTGTTGTCTGTGGAACGCCCGCCCCGCCCCGCCCCGCCCCACCACGCCCCACACGAGCCTTTAATGGTGGTGAAACGCGGAGCAACGTCCGCCCCGTTTGTTTGTCATGCGCCGTGGCGGGCGGGAGGGGCGGGGTGGGGCGGGGCGGGGCGGGTGGGGTGGGGTGGGGCGGGGCGGGGTGGGGCGGGGTGTGGGTGGGGTGGGCCGGGGTGGGGCGGGGCGGGATCGTGTACAGCCGAATCTGAGCGTCGTCGCGGTCGTCACGGTCGGCGTACGCTCCACGCGAGTAATTGCAGCAGGCATTCCGAACAGTGCTTTCGCTCTCGCTGCCGCTCTCCCTCGCACTCGTTGGGTGCAGGGGAGACATAGCGAGCGCGACGAAGCACTGTGGTTCGGGATGAGTGCGCCCGCGTTTTCTGGAGGGTTTTGTCTGCGGCTCGGGGCAGGGACGACACGGTGGCGTCTGGAGTCTGTGATCTGGAGGCGTTCCACGGCCGAGTTCGCTCTCTTGCTCGCAGGGAAGCCCTACGCCGCAGTCCCGAATCACTGGGAGACGGCACACGCACGCCCCGCGGGACTGGCGCCCCCGCCCCGCCCATTGACTCCGCGCTCCGCGTCGTCCTCCTGAAGCCCGTCCTTCCTTACCTCCCCCTTCCCCCACACGGCGTGCACGGCGTGTGGGCCCAACAGCGCCTCGGCCGTTCCGAGGGTTCCCGACCCCGCCAAGCTTTGGCTTCCCATCGACCTACGGCTCGCTGTTGTGCCGTGGGGCTCGGCTCCGCTGTGGCTCCGCTGTGTGGCCCGCACGGCCGCTTGGCCTGCCCCACAGGCCTTGCCCCACAGGCCGCCACAAAGCACCCAATCGCCCGGCGCGGCTTCCTTGTCTGCGAACCACCAAAGCAAACTGATTCACTCACGCCGTCCATGTTTTGCCGCGCCGCCGCAAAGGATGCGCCGAGGCCAGCAGGGCTGGCGGCCATGGCCGTGACGGCATGATGGCGTGCTCGGAGACCTCGGCGCGCCGCGCCATGTGGTGCCTGCTGGTGCTCCTGCTACTGGCCGGCCTCGGCCACGCTCGGCGTGCGCCTTCCTCGCACCACCACGGCCACCGCTACGCCGAGGCCCACCCCGAGGGCCACCCGAACGTGGTCTCGGCCGTGGAGTGGATCCACGTGGCCACGCCGCGGCCCGGGCCGCCCGAAGGCCTGCGGCATGGCGCCGGCGTGTACGCGCCGCGGTTCGACCACCCGCACCACGACGCCGACCTCTGGAACCTTCCTCACCGCCACCGACACCACCACGGCGACCCGCCGCCAGACCAAGCCGTCGACGTGCCGATCCGCGGCGTGAACGACGCCGGCGAGGACCGCGGACACAACAGACTCCCAGCCGCACTGGCGGAGGAAGAGACCGCCACGACGGCGACGTGGACGTTCCAGGCCTCGGACACCGCCTGGTCCGCCACCACGGCGGCCAGCGTGCTGCAGGCGCTGGGCCTAGGCCCCACGATGGCCGCGGACACGGCCTCGGACATGATCTCGGCCCTCAAGATGCCCTCCATCGGGCTGGGCGCGGCGCGGCGACGCACGCAGGCCCGCGAGATCAACTGGCCCGTGAAGAAGGAGGCCGTGGTGGAGGGCGACCTGGTGCTGGGTGGGCTCATGATGGTCCACGAGCGCGAGGACAGCGTGGTGTGCGGGCCCATCATGCCGCAGGGCGGCGTGCAGGCGCTCGAGGCCATGCTCTACACGCTGGACTTCGTCAACGACGGCTTCCTGCCCGGCATCGCGCTTGGCGCGCACATCCTGGACGACTGCGACAAGGACACCTACGGCCTGGAGATGGCGGTCGACTTCATCAAAGGTAAACACCAACGGGCTCTGCGGACGTTTTTAGGTCAAGCGAACCAAAGCTGGTTTCTCTTTAAACCGCATAATTTCCGGTCACGTTGCCTCCTTGCAAAATGTTGTTGGGAGTTTCCGCAAAGGAAGCGGTGCCGCCTTCGCGCGACGTGCGGTAGTTGTGGCGGTGCCTGCCGCGGCCACGGCTGGACTAGGCTGCACCAGGTGGGGTAGCGATGGCGCGATTTGCTCCAGGCACGCAATGCAGCGCATGCTGCGTGTGGTGGCCGGCCAAGATTCACCTATGGCAGCTCACAGCTATGATGCACACGGCTGTGTCCGGCTGGGCCCATGTGTACCCGGTGTACCCGTGGCTGGAGCCGAGCTATCAATTACCCCGCCCCGCCCCACGACGCCCCGCCCCGCCCCGCCACGCCACGCCACGCCACGCCACGCCACGCCCCGCCACGCCTCATATAAGGCCGCATTAGGACTTGATGCATGCTGCGTGCCCAGCCCGATGCACCCCACCGCCGGCCATCGCCGTATTTCACCGGCTGCTTCATTCGCAGCCGTGCTGCCGACTCTATCGTTCGGCCAAATCGCGGCCCACCGTAAATTCCTCTCGGCGGGGCTGGGGTCCACCGAGGGGTCCACTGTAGGCGAGGTCGCGGCGGCGTTACGTGGAAGGTGGACGCGTGTGGCGCTGCGTCACACCGCTTTCCGCCGCGTGACACCGAGTCGGACGAGCCGCGTCCGGCTGGCTGGGCTGCGCATGGCTGCGGACCGAGTCGCCTTCGCCGCGCTGTCTCCCTCGCACCTGCCAGGGACGCCCCATGAGTGCGAGAGAGACAGAGCGACGCGAAGGACGCAGTCTGCTGGGCCCGGCCCGCCCGTTTGTTCCGGTTAGTTAGAATCGCAAAATGGCCCCGTAAGCCCGTCCCTCCGGCCCCGCGGCCCCGCGGCCCTTCGGCGGCGGGGCTTCGATTCTTCGATTCACCCTTTTCGGGCGGCCCTCCGTGCGACCCTCGCCTCGCCTGGACGGTCCGGGACGGTCCCTCTGCCTCCCTCGCGACGTGCGCGACGTGCGCGACGCCCCCTCCGCCTGTCTGATTTATTTCCCCATCAAATAGGCCGTTTGCGTCAACCCAAAGCGGCCCTCTGCCTTGGCCGCGCTGGCCGCGCTCGGCGGCGACCAAACTCGTTTTTATGGCGGAAATGACAAGGCCTGTCCCCGCCGCGGCCCCGCCCCGCCCCGCCCCGCCCCGGCGCGCCGTGTGTGGCAGTGTGGCGGCCGCAAGCCTCGCGCAAGCCGCAAGGAGGGCGCCGTGTACTCGACCCTCGCAAAGCGCCTCGCAAAGCGTCTCGCAAAAGTGGCCCGGGAATAGCCACTGTCAGCGGCCGGGAGAAAAATGGTTTCTGCCGACACAACGACACCCCACGACGCCCCGACGTGCAGTTCGGCTGTTGCAGCAGGTAATTTTCCGGGCCGCGGTCCGTCCTCGTCCTAGCGCCTCTGCTCTCGTTGTTGTTGTTGTTGTTGTTGTTGTTGTTGTTGTTTTGTTCGTTTCCTGTCCCCCTTTCCTCGCCCGGCCTCACACCCGGCCCGTGCAGGAAGCCGCGGTGAACGGAAAACGGGAGGAAAAGAAAATGGGGGCAAGCGCGCGGGAAGTAGTGAGTTATAAAAGAGAAAGGAACAGGATCTGCATATTTTGCGAATCATCGCGCGCGGTGGAGGGGAGGGGGAAGAGGGGGGGGGGCAGTGCGCCAAAGGGCAGACAAAAAGGCCTTGTATTGCCAGTGGGATTGAGCGAGGCGAGGCGGGTCACGGTGGGCCAGAAGACCGGTGGAGGCGGCCGAAACTCTAGACGCGTTTTGAGATCCCGAGTCGATAAGTTGGACTCGAACCGAACGTGTGACCCCACCAATGGATTCCTCGTTCGGAGAGCAATCCAGTGGTGGGGTCACACGTTCCGTTCGAGTCCCGTTTAGCGACTCTGGAGCTCAAAACGCGTCTAGAGTTTCGGCCGCCTCCACCGGCCTTCTGGCCCACTGTGCGGGTCGGGGCCAGGACCGTAGCGACCGTAGGTGAGCGGTGTGTAAAGGCGTCGTTTTATCGTCCCTACGAGAGCCGAGACCGGTCCAGGCCCGTCCAGGAAAATCTGGAGGGAACGGCCTGGCTGGGCCTGGCTGCCGGTTTACGCCCGTGGCGCGCCTTCGGGACTCGGCCTCGGCGGGCGAGTCGGGCCTCGGCGGCAGGCGATCGCCGTAGCATCGCACGCGCACCGCTCGCCCGTCTCCGGAATTTACTACGAGCTTATCGGCACGGTTTTATTGGGACTGGGAAGCGATTCTAAATGAAGTGCACAATGCCGGGCTGGCTTGGCTGGGTTGGGCGGGCGCCGCGCAGGTAGGCAACCCCAGGGGCTTCGGTGCACGGCAGCACTGGTTTTCTCGGTACAAGGTTGGCAGCATGGAGGAGTTACGTGTAGAAGTCCCCACCCCCTCTCCGCTCATGCTCGCTTAGATGTCGTAAGTTATTCGGTCGCTTCTTTCCATTCAACCTTATGGAAATTTGGTGTTGGGCCAGACAGGCCCGGTAAAATAGGGCCGATCGAGTCTTTCATGCAGTCCGGACCGGCGGGGCGGGGCGGGGCGGGGCGGGGCGCGCCCAATAGCCGGGGTTTTATGAGACAGCCCAAGAACAGATAAATCTCGGGGAGCCATCCTTGTTCAATCTGGCGGTCTCTTTCCGCCTTTCAGGCCCGTCCAAGCGGCCGATTGGCTGGCGGGGCCCTCGGCGGGGCCCCCGTCGGGGCTGCGCGGCCCTCCCCGATCCTTGTTTACCGTGCGGGTTGGTCAGCGGCAGGGATATGGGCGCTCCAAAGTTCGGAAACACCGAAACTTTGGGTCGTTCGTTCGAAAACGCTACACTGATACTTGGGCCAGTGAGCCACGTGCCGCACCGCCGGCGCCGCCTCCCACGCCGAGCGAAAAACAAAACAAGGCGTGTTCCTAAAAGTCAGGGGGCTTCGCTGAATTCGTGGGCATCTGCTGACTCCCGTGCTCATGACGGGGCGGGCCGGCGGCGCGCGTGGGAGACCAAACACTGAATGGTAAGCCTCCGCCTCGCCTCCGGCTCCCCTTTAGTTGGCCGCAGACCGCGGCAGCGCGGCAGCATGGCGGGATTTGGAAAGCCGGAGCGTCCCCGCCAGCCAGTCGGACTGATTCCGAGCGTCGTTTTCGTCGCTCTGTCTCTCTCGCGCCGCCACGGGACCCCCGATGGGTGCGACGGAGACAGAGCGACGAAAACGACTCTCGGAATGAGCCTGCAGGCAGCCGGGCCCACGGCCAGGCCCACGGCCGGGCCCCCGGCGGCCCCGGGCCCGGCCCGGGCCGGCCCAGGAGGAAAGGACCCACGAGGGGGAAAGGACCCAGTGGAAGGACCCCGGGGCCCCCGGGGAAAGGGCCGAGGAGGAGGAGAGGAGACGAGGAAGGAGGAGGAGGAGGAGGAGGAGAGGAGGAGGAGGAGAGGAGAGAGAGAGGAGGAGGAGGAGGAGGCAGGGCCGGCCCCCCCGGGGCACGGGCCCGCACGGAGGCCCGCAGGCCCAAAGGCCCCGGCCGGCCCCCCCCGGCCCCGGAGCCCAAGGAGCCGCCCCGGCCGGCCCGGGCCGGCCACACCAGGCCCGGGCCCCCGCCCCTGTGGGGGAAAAGGGGGAAGCGCCCCCAAACCGGGGGATTTGGGGGGCCGACGTTGGGGTTGGGGGGATTTTATTTTTTTGGGCCCGGGGGGCCCCGGCCCCCCGGCCCGGGGGGGGCCGCTGCCTTAGAATGCCTTTTGTGCGGCCCGCCGGCCGTAGCGTCCTGGCCGTGCCGTCCTGGCCGTGCCGTCCTGGCCGTGCCGTCCTGGCCGTCCTCGGCGTCCTCGTTAGCAGGCTTTGAGTGGCGACGTCACGCCGCGCTTTGACAGCTCAGGCGGACGCGCGCGCCTCCGTCTCGACGGTCTGGACGACGTGCGAGTTAATTTTAGCGGGAGAAGTCATTTCTCCGCGCCTCCGCACCAGTAGAGCTTTACTAGGGCCGGAGGCACCAGCCGCGCACTCGACTGGAGAGAGCGGCCGGCCGCGAAGCAGCGCGAAGCAGCGCGAAGCCGAGCAGCAGACCTCGCGCTGTCTCTCTCGCACTCCGCTCTGCGGGGACCCACCGCGTGAGGAGATAGACAGAGCGAGCCTGCAGTGCAGGCCAGAAGGAAACAAGAGGTTCGTTCCATGAATTTCGAACGCAATTCGCCCAAAATCCATGCGTTGCACGCGCATGCTCTGTGGTTTCTGGCACGCGGCGCGTGTTCTGAGGTTTCCCCTCGCGTTTCCCGCGCAAGTTGTCGAGTCGCGGTGACGCGGCCCGGAGCAGCGAGCAGCAGCGCGCAGCCACGTCGGAGACCTCGTCGGAGACCTCGTCGGAGACCGGTGTAGGAGGCGAACTGTACCCGTCGGCGCAGAGTACCCCCGGGTGCACTACGCCTAGGGCCATAGTACCCTGGGTTTTGAAAACTAGGTTCAATGTACCCAGGGGTACAATGCGCCTAGGTGCCAGGCGAATTTTCCCCCCGGGTAAATGCGGCTAGGCGAAATGTACCCCGGGGACATTTTCCCCTGGGCTTATTTTTATCCCCCCCCCGGCCGCGGGAGGATGCACGTCGCCTAAGCGCAATGCCCCCCCCCGGATACAAAGAGCCTAGGCGAGGATCCCCTGGGCCCGGGCCGGGGGGGGATCAAAAAGCCTAGGCGCAATGCATTCCCCCCCGGATAAAAAGAACCTGGGCGAGGAGTATCCCCTGGGCCGGGCCGGGGGGATAAAAAAAGCCTAGGCGCAATGCTTTCCCAAACCCGGATACAAAATCGAAAAAAAAAAAAAAAGGGGGGGGCCCTTCTCCCCCTCCGCACACAGGTCGGGGGGCCGCCTGCAACTTCGGGGGATCGGGGGAACCGGTGCTTTACAGGCGGCGACCCCGGGGGTTCTCGT